GGCCAACCTAACAAAATATGTATATAGAGACATCGAGAGAAGAAAGAAAGAAAACGCTGTGAAACAATGTTATATATACTCACGTGTTGGCGAATTAACATACTCACGTGTTTTACCGGATCTCAAAGTAGCAGCGCTAAGCGTATTGATCGTATAAGCGAGACCGTGATTATTATAACCCATTGTGTATCCTGGTAAAAAGCCGGCATAACTCAGGGACGTAAACTTCTCTTCCTTGCAGTCCGGCTCGACTACATGCGCGGAAACCAAATACCAATGATTTAAAGTTTCGCTGAGCGCATCCTCGTTGTGCCCCAAAATTTCCTGTTATCGAAACGATCGGCAGAGAAACGATAACGCCTTATTTTTTACATCTTATCGTTTACTACTATTAAACATTAGAATCAAATTTATAGAATTGTACACTGTGTATAAATTGTAGATCAAAAAGTAGGAACAATCACTGTGTGTTTAGCGCGCTTACCTGTCCAGGTTGATTGCACATGATGGTCGAGCAACCAACCGGTAACGTATTTTCGTGTCCTTCGTTCGCTACATTTGGCACGATATCATCCAAATGCATTAGAAACAACTGAAAAGGAAGACGTTGGTCAGCATTTTTACTGAATCGAAGTTGATAACTTTCTAATGGAAGGAAAAGGATACGTGCTATGTTCAAAAAGAAGATATCTCTGGTTTAGGTTAAGTTTAGGTTATGAGATGTTTACATGGTGTAAGTATTAGGGCTATCGGGAAGTAGAGTCACTTGTGAGACTTTAGATACGATGTGTTTACTAGTTTTTCTTGAAATTTAGCCAAGTAAAAAACGTGGCTAGCAAAGAGAAGAACATATCAGACACGTTATGCATTTCGGATTTTCGGCGAGGTAATATAATTTACAGTGTAAATGTCACAAATGCCGATCTGGTGATTTTAGCCCCCTCCCCCTCATTCTTAGTAGCCAATTATATATATTATCTTCATTGATAACGATCAGTTTTGATTCTCAGAACCGGATTCTCGTCAAACTGTCGAGGATTTAATGAACAGGTCTGGGGTTTCCTAGTTCACCAGGAATATCTTTCTCAAAATGAAAAATTGTGCAGGCAAGGATGCTGCATGACATGAGCAGCATAAAGCAGAAAGAATGTCATTGTGTAATTTTTTGCTCAATCGCATTGAGGAAGATCCATTACTAAATCATCATATTTTATTCTAATTTGGTTTTATCGGACTATCATCTTTTCCGTCTCGAAGGGGAAAATCCTTCCGTTAATACTGTAAAAACCGATAATTGCAGAATATTGCAATTGTAGGAAGAACACGTAATAATCCGGGTATATTGTTGCCAATAAATCGGGAATGTTATAAAAAGAAAGGGTTAGTAGATGGAAAACAACCATAACAAACGATGGAAAGTATATAACAGATGTCAATATTAATAATAATATGGGTAATAATATTAATGATAATTTAAATATAATATTCATTCATCTGTCAACAACAAAAAACAAATTTCCATTTTCAGAGCAGAAAATGACATTACCCTCCGGTATCCCTAATCCTTATATTAGTTACACAACAGGACTTTTCAAAGTGTGGGTCGCCACTGAATTTAGGGATCGCAGACATTTCAGCAGAACTGAAACATTAGCATGAATATTTGCTTCTGCCTTTAATACATGGTAAAGTTCGTACGCACACCAAAGGATAAGTTGTTTTCGAATAAATTTTTTTTGATTTATCGATGATTTGCTATCAACATGTGTTTTAATTCGTACTCCTAGTTTATGTATCCATGATCGTGAAAATATTTGCTCGGCTAAAGAGGGACAGTTTGAGAAGCCTTGACTTGACATACACACACATACACACACACAAGGACACATTTGAGAGGAGAACAGCTGCTGCACGCGCAAAATAGATCTAAATGAAATGTTAAAGGATATAAAATATCGTACCTTGTGAAAAGGGATGTTCGCACCGTCGGCTGTCCCCTGAATTTCCTTAACGTATCCGGGGAATTGCTGTTCGACGCAAGCGAGGGTCTCGTCGTAAATTCTCCTGCCCGCTTCCGTTTCGTAAAGCGGCAAGTAAGTCTCATTCAGCGGCTTGTAGATGTCGACGAACTTTTGAATCAGACCGGAGAACGTGCGACCCTGTGTGTTAAAAAGAGACAGCCTTGATCCTGAAGAACGAATGAATTCGAAATAAGAATAAAAATTTTGTGACGAGCATCTTGAAAATACTCTTCGTATCGCCACTGAATGAATTTGGTATCCAAATAACGAGTGTTCTCGTTAAAAATTTTCATACTTTTTTTTTTTTTAATTAATATAAGTAAATATTTTTTCTAATCAATGCGTGTTGTTTCACTGTGAAAGTTGTTTTTAATATCCTCGTATGATAATGTAGGTCGCATTGTACTGATAAAGCAAATATGCAAACTATATATGCAGCCCTCGATAAATTTTTGTCGGCCAAATGAACGAGGCGCAGAAGATTTGAAAAGGACAGCCATGTTATCTTCCCAGCGTGCAGAAACACACTTTGGGAACGCTGTTGCGACGCTTGTTAAAATATATATCGCTGCTGAATATCACGTTTCGTGTCCGCGTTACTCTAAAATCCGCGCATACATTATTCTCTGAAACAGTAAACGCTACATAATTGCATAATATCGCGTAACTATCGTTACGTAACGCGTTCAATCTCTCGGAAAAACACAGGTATGAGAACGATTTCAATTTATTAGCAATTTGTTTTCGGTAAAACGCGCAAATGAAGGAAATAAAGGATATAAACACGATTACGATACGGACAATAATTCTTGCGATCTCGCTGTTTTTTTCTTTTTTTTTTCTGATCGAGTTGGCTAAGAAACAAAAAAAAAAAA